CCGTGCCATCCATTGATAAGGACTGAAGATGTCGACTTCAGTTGCTTAGGATGTGCCAAACCTAAACTCTTCCCCGTAGAGGCTTCCTCCATCGCCTTTCAATGGATATCTCAGGCATATTGAGCCGTCCACCATGAAATATTGACATGCATCGAAGCCGCGCAAGTGCTTTTTCTGGTGGTATGGCACGTCAATCCAATGCCACGCTGCGGACCAAGACTGGATGTTTGACCTGTGAGTGCAGTCGTATCTGGTGGAGCCAACTGTAGCTAACAGGACTTTAGGCCGCACGCGACGGAAGAAATGCAACGAAGTAAGGCCCAAGTGTGAAAAATGCATTAAATCCAACCGAGTGTGTACTTGGCCTGCCGAAGACGAGTTGTTCGACCGGCGACATAGGCGAACTTCGAGGTCTCCCGCATCATCGTCGCCGGCTGAGTCGCCAAAAAGCATCACGGTTGTAAGGCGCCTTTCGAGCAGCAGCAAAGACAGCGTAGGCACTGATGCATCGCCATTCTTTGTTTGTCGCGAGATCTCTTTCAACTCTGACCTTTTCAATTCGCCCATGCTCAAATCCGACCTTGAAGTTGCTTGTTGTCGCCACTTTCTCGATGGGTTCCTCCCACTACTCATACTGTCCAATACGCATCCAGGCTTCCAGTCCCAGCTGATTCCGGAGATTGTGGGAATGCTTCTGCAATTTGAGGGCATGAAAGACGTTGCGCTGGCTTGTGGTGCGTCACGAATGCATCTTCTCACCGGAAGTGCGCAAATGCATGAGGCCGGACTCAGATACTATGCTCGTGCCGTGTCTGAGGTCAATCGCTCTCTCAGCACCATCGACTGGGGTCGAGATGATTTCAATGACGCCCTGCTAGTGGCCATCATCCATTTATACATCCACGGGGTGAGTTTTCCCTCGTGCATTCGAAAGCGGTCAAAAAAGCTCTGCAGATGACGGAGTCAACTAATCAAGGCTTTGTGCGAACAGGTCTTCGATATTGGGACCAACAAAGACATCGGCAAGCATGTCAGGGGAGCAATCCAGCTCATGAAACTCCGATGGACGCATTCGCGAAGACCTCCTATGCCACGCCCGATTCATCGTATCATTTGGGAAAGCATCCTTTATCAAGTCTTTCGCCGGACGGTCAATCGGCCATTTGCCGTAGACTTTCAGCCCGACTTTGAATTCTGCGCACGGGCACAAGAGACGCTGCAGTCCTTGACATTTCCGGACGCCTCACCTGCCGACAATAGCCCCGTGATAGGTTTCCCTTTGGCGCTCCAAAAGTTGATTATTGAGATTGTCCAAGTCTGCAAAAGCCCAACGAAAGCCGAGCCTGAATTACTAGATGTCCTCGGGCGTGAAATGTCATTTTGGGAGAAGACAATCCTAGAAGAGGGTCATTGCGTCAAGGAATGCGACTCGTGGTCAGTGGGAACAGCTGCCGAACGAGCCCGTATCTTCCACCAACACTCGACCAGCTTGCACATTCTCGCGGCCTCCCTCCTCCTGGACTGGGTATCCAGAGCACATGAGGTGTCGGAGACTACATCTCCGCTTCCACCAGTGGTCTATACATGGCAGGTTCGGAGGGGCCTGGAGATCTTGCAGTGTCCACAAGCCAATGAAGAGTGGTCGAGGTGTTACCTTGGATCGTGGCCAACCTTGATATTTGGCTATGCTGTTGACAAGCCCGAGGACATCGCACTCATCCGACGTGACTTAAGGCAACGGTTCCACCAGCTGTATTCAGGGGAGGAGTTGCTTTTCCTGGAGGAGCTGGAGTCAGTCTGGCGTACGCGGGGGGTTTCGTGAATGGAGGAGTTAAGACGAAAACGTTTATCTTGCAGACTGACATGACAGGAGCTTTAACCCGTCATATTTTGATCGGAGTTTTGGGTTGATGTACCTCGTACTCTCTGTTTTGGCGGGAAATTGATGGTGGATGGAACGCGACTGGCGGCGCGCAGACGCCGGGCGCAGGCAAAGGCCCGATGGGCATCAGGGCGCAGTTTGCGCATTTCACCTGTATCACTCGTAACTACTCGGTACACGGCAATCAAATAAACTCCCTAGTATCATCACCACCACCGTCACTACCAACCTACTCACCCAGTTCAGCATTCATTACCTGCCTACCTAGGCACCTAGGCTTGCAAACGATCACCTGGCATCGGTCGCCGCTTTGACGGCCAAGCAGTGTTATTACAGAGGCGCCTCGGCAGGCCTCGAAATTGTCCTCCGAGATGCCACAAACAGGGCCCGTCACCCACCCTCCATTCTCCATCGTCCTTTGACCCGCCGAGCTGTTGAATCTGATTTGGCTTTCTACCACCCGAACGACCCTTATTCCTCTTAATCACTCGTCCCTCCATGTGCCTGAGCCAATGGAATCTCGTAACCTTCCTCGCCGCTTGATGAAGATGCCCAGGTGTTGTAGCGGCCAAAGATCGAAATGCATGCTGACAGTTGTTGCCTTAGTAAACCTTCCAGTCCTGTACGATTCTCTCCAAGATGATACAACCTGAGCTCGTCATAGCTGTTGAGATTGCCATATGTTTGTCAGATTCCCAGTCGGTTTCGAAACCGATGTCTATTCTGGTACAAGCGGAAAGCATCGACGGACGCAGCAATATAAAGGAGACATTGGGAAGGTTGATGCTCCTGGTTCCTTAGCACTCTAACCTCCAGTCAAGGCTCAGCTCCCCAACTTGAATGGTTAACCAGAAAAAGAAAATGTCGTTCTTCGAAGCTGCCTCCTGGCACGAGGGAGAAGTTGCGATTCATAAACGAACTCGTATCAGCGGTTATGACAATCCCACATCACCATTCCTCACGCCTCGGGCGGCGAGCATGATTCAGCGGTACCCCATGATGGCAATAGGGACATTGGATGATCAAGACAGACCCTGGTGCACAGTCTGGGGCTCCGATCATCTGCCAATCGCGCAGCCAGTAGCTCAGAGCGTTCTGGGCGTCCGCACGACGGTCGACGCGAGTTTCGACCCCGTGATCCAAGCCATTTACAATGGTAAAGATGACGGGGAAGTGATCCGAGAGGAAGGCAAAACGAGGCTGATGTCCGGGCTAAGTATTCACCTGGAAGAGCGAGGAAGAGTCAAGATGGCTGGCCAAGTCATTGCTGGTGCTCTCACTGCGAACGAACCCGTTGCGCCTATCAGCGTGTCCGACGACGATGCGCTCCTAGGCAAATCAGGCGAAGTACAGCTTGTCGTCAAGATCGATCAAAGCCTCGGAAATTGTCCCAAATATCTCAATAAGAAGCACATCGTTGCTACCGAACCCAAACCGAGATTATTGTCTTCGTCACCACATCTCACTCAAAAAGCTATCGATTTAGTGCATAAAGCTGACTTGTTCTTTATCGCCTCGGCGCACAAGCACGAGGACATGGACTGTAATCATCGTGGCGGCCCTCCAGGTTTCATTCGTGTGCAGCAACCCGCCAGTCTAGACGAAGGCAGCATCATTGTTTGGCCCGAATACAGTGGGAACAACCTCTACCAAACACTTGGTAATCTGGAAAGCACCCCTCACGCTGGCCTAGTCATTCCTGACTTCGAGTCTGGCGATGTTCTTTATGTAACTGGGGATACTGAGACCCTTGTCGGGGACGCAGCGAGCAAAGTCATTGCCAAAAGCAATCTTGCTGTAAGCCTGAAAGTAACCGGAGCACGCCTTGTTGAAAAGGGGTTGCCTTTCCGTGGCAAGCTGATGGAGGATGCGTCCCAAGGCCGCTCACCATATAACCCCCGTGTGCGATACCTGACCTCGGAGAAAACAGATGCGTTTGGGAAGACCGCTGGTGACGCACCTCCGACGACGGCAAAGCTCATCAAGAAAACTAAGATCACTCCTACCATCACCAGATATCGTTTCGCACTGGCTGATCCTGGTGCTTTTGGGCCCTGGAAACCGGGTCAATACGTCGCAATGGACGTGGCAGCCGAGCTGGACATGGGATATTCACACATGCGAGACGACGACCCGACCAGTCTGAATGACGATTATATTCGGACTTTTACTGTCTCATCTATCCCGAACTCTCTTGGACTGCATGGGGAGGAATTCGAGGTCACAGTGCGCGCCGTCGGCCACGTCACCAAATGGCTTGAGTGGCAGCGCGAGGGCATGTGTGAGATTGGCATCCGAGGCTTTGGCGGAGAATTCGCTTTCGAACCCAGTTCCAGGAATGTGTTCATAGCTGCCGGGATTGGCATTACGCCTTTGCTGGGACAGATGGACAGCCTGGATCTCAACAAACTAAAGGTCATATGGAGCGTGGGGATCCGTGATGTCGCATTACCGCTAGACGTCCTCAGCCAGTTTCCCAGTTTGAAAGACTCACTAACAATCTGCCTCACTGGTGACGAGTCACTGTTGGATGAGAAGAATAAGGCACAGCTACAGAACCTGATCGATGCCGGGGTGAAGGTTCTCAGGAGGAGATTGACAAAAGAGGACTTGGTAGTCTTGGAATCGGAAGTTGATAATTGGTATCTATGCACGGCGCCAGCGATGAGAAAGATTGTGCAAGAGTGGATGCCGGGAACGACAATCATCTACGAGAATTTCGACTACTGAGGCGACAGAGGGTTCGTTGCGGTCAGGGAGGATTGAGGTTTCTTGTTCACACATCTCATGTACGACAGTAATGGCAGGAGATAGGAAATAGATCACCATATTAGTTTCTTGGTTGCTTGAGGCCTTTAGTAATTCACATTTGTTGCAACATTTCTCCACCTCGTTGCGTGTTGACCCTTTTTGAGCGTTTCGATACGTCTCACCCTTTCTCCTGGATATCTCTCCTACAAGTAAGGACATGGCCGGCAAGCAACGGTTCATAGCTTTCCAATTGCGCCTCCAACCATTCAAATCAGCAGACCGAGTCTTTCAGCACCATTACAGTTACAGATCGAGACTGATCTACTCACCATCGAGGCCCGTCTTCCCGCCCTGTCGCCGACGCAACATGTCAAGCCAAACGGCCACCACTACCACTACTGCCCAGAACGCAGACGACAAGACGATCTACAAACTGACATTCTACTCGCCGCCGGAAACCACGCAGGCGTGTCTATCGGCCGTGTGGGCCACGGGGGCGGGGACGTGGCCCAACACCCCCACAACCGTGGATAGTCAGAGCCAGGGCCTGAGCGACGCCAGCGAGAACAACGACGAGCCAGCGAAATACACCGACACGGCCTTCATCAGCCGCGGTACGGGGCAATTCAAGCCGTCAGCGGCGGCGAACCCGCACATCGGCAGACCAGGGCAGGTCGAGTACGTCGAAGAAGACCGAGTCGAGGTGGTGGTTGTCGGCACGCAGCGGTGCAAAGACGCCGTACGCGAGCTGAGGAAGGCACATCCGTACGAAGTTGTCGCCTTGTTCGTGGCCAAGTGCGAGGATTTTTGAGTTCCATCTCTGGTCTCTGGTAGCTAAGGGCTAGAGACAGACAAGAAACAAGAGCCTACGACAGCCATGTGGTATATGGGCATTGTTATGGAGCATGGCAGAAATCTCGGGGGCTTGGAATAATTCGCTCGACATGCACAACAAAGTCTTGACGAGGACAAGGAAACGCAAACAGAAGCCGTAATCACTCAGTTTCTTTTCTGGAAGAGAATTTCCCTTTTGATTTCTTGTGGTATCTAGTTTTCACAACTTTGCCGTCCGGCATACAAGCAGAAAACGAGAAAAAGACCAACGCCCTTTTGCATGTCCGACCTGTTTCTTCCCTAGGCCGAGCACATCTAGATGCTTGTAATCAAGTCCTCAATTCATAACGCTGGTACAAAATTCATGCCAACCCCCCCGACCTACTCACAGCTCGTCGTGTCCCGAGGGCTCGTCATCATCATCTCCATAGTCTGGCATGCCTCCTGCGCCAGCATATAGTTTGCTGCTAATAGGATATGCGACTTGAGACAGCTTCTCGAATTGCTCCTCGAAGTCGTCCTTGTCTGCGGAATCGGCGTTGTCACTGAGCCAGTCTTGCGTCTCCTTGATCGCGTCTAGAAGAGTTTCTTTGTCTTCATCATCGATCTTGCCACCAAGCCCGTCTTCGTCGTGGACTTGGTTCTTCAGTGAAGAGGCATAGTTCTCCAGCTTATTGCGGGCGTCAATCTTGTCCTTGACAGCACGGTCGGCTTCGGCGAACTCTTCGGCCTCTGCGACCATTCGGTCGATTTCCTCTTGCGTGAGGCGTCCCTTGTCGTTCGTGATGGTGATCGACTCTGACTTGCCAGTGCCTTTGTCACCAGCTGAAACCTTGAGGATACCGTTTGCGTCGAGTTCGAAGGAGACTTCAATCTGAGGGACACCACGAGGGGCAGGAGGAATACCGGTAAGTTCAAATTTGCCCAGAAGGTTGTTGTCCTTGGTCATTGCTCGTTCGCCTTCGAAAACCTGGATAAGCACTACAGGCTGGTTGTCCGCTGCTGTAGAGAAGATCTGAGATTTCTTGGTCGGTACGAGGGTGTTTCGGGGAATGAGTTTGGTCATGACACCGCCGGTAGTTTCAATGCCGAGAGTAAGGGGATTGACATCCATCAGAATGAGATCTTCGGTGCCGGTCTCCCCAGAAAGGACACCACCTTGAACGGCTGCACCATATGCTACAGCTTCGTCTGGGTTGATACCCTTGCTTGCCTTCTTGCCACCGAAGAATTCCTCGATCATGGATTGGACCTTGGGGATACGAGTAGATCCACCAATGAGAACGATGTCGTCGACCTCGGATTTCTTGACCTTGGCGTCTTTCAAGACCTGTTCGACGGGCTTGAGTGTCTTCTTGAACAAGTCCATGTTCAACTCCTCGAATTTGGCTCGGGTCAAGGTCTCAGAGAAGTCCTTGCCGTTGTGGAAAGCTTCGATTTCAATTCGAGTAGACATTTGGGAGGACAGAGTTCGCTTGGCCCGCTCGACTTCGCGCTTCAGCTTGCCCATGGTCTTCAGATCCTTGCGGATATCAACATCGTTCTCCTTGTTGAACTTCTTCACAAAGTAATCGATCACTCGCTGGTCGAAATCTTCACCACCGAGATGAGTGTCACCGGCGGTGGCCAAGACCTCGAAAACGCCGTCTTCAATTGAGAGAAGGGAAACGTCGAAAGTGCCACCACCAAGATCGTAGACAATGATCTGGCTCTCCTTGCCCTTCTTGTCAAGGCCATAGGCGATGGCTGCGGCAGTCGGCTCGTTAACCACACGCAGGACAGTCAATCCGGCGATAGTACCAGCATCCTTGGTAGCTTGTCGCTGAGCGTCGTTGAAGTATGCCGGGACTGTGACGACCGCGTGGGTAACTTTCTTGCCCAAGTATGCCTCTGCAACTTCCTTCATCTTGCCCAGAACCATGGCGGAGATTTCTTCGGGTGTGAAGGTCTTTGGTTTGCCGCCAACCTCGACATTGACCACAGGCTTGCCATCTTTGTTGGCTACCTTGAAGGGGAAGTGTTTCAGATCTCGCTGAACGTCCTTGTCCTCGAATTTACGGCCGATCAAACGCCTGAGAAACCATGTTAGTAAAGTCAAGGTACAAGAAAACAAATCGGAAAGATACTCACTTAATGTCAAAAATCGTTCTGGTGGGATTCGAAGCATATTGATTCTTTGCCGCGTCTCCCACTAACCGCTCTTCATCGGTGAATGCCACGTATGAAGGCGTTATCCGATTTCCCTGGTCGTTCACAATGATCTCGACCTTGCCGTTCTGCATCACACCGACGCAGGAGTATGTTGTACCCAGATCGATACCAATGACGGTGCCATAGTTGCTATCTGAGTCATTCACTGGGGTTTGATCTTGGGCATTTACTCTGCCGATCAAAGCCAAAGGACAGACAAAGATGAGGAGGAGGTAGAAGAGAGTTGTCCACTGTAAAGTAGCGGAAGAGGATCTGTGTGGTCGACGCTGGACGTTACCGGACGCCATCTTGTCGGTAGGGAGAGGGAAAAAGAGAGAAGCAAAGGAAAAGAAGAATGATATGTTGTTGTTAGAGTGAGAAAGGTCAAGGAGGATTGGGGTGAGCGGTGGAGGGAAATATTTATTCTAGGGTCGCAGTTATCGATACGCTGTCCTTTTCCACCATCTTCACTGGCGGAAGCTCAGCCCAGGGCAAGGACACTTTGTTTCGCCGCAGTCTCTTCTCCACAGGCGGCCCCATCACTAACTATTACTACTAAAATGTACTTGCCCCAGCCTTGGCGGTTAAAGGGCGGCTTTTGGACACGCTGTTTTGCCCCTGAATCACTGCCAGCCTGGCCTCTATTCTGTTCTTTGCACATCCAACATGTACCATCCCTTTCCACGCCTCGAGGACATCGTAAAATTTGCTTCTATTTTATCCCCCCAAGCCAGCCACCATGACTCAGAGAACGACACCTTTGGCGCGCAACTAGCGCCACACGGTACAAAGTGCGCACAAGAGCATTCTCTGCTAATATCCCTTGCCACAGCATCAAGCATGAGGTACCTTGCATTGGTCTCCGAGTTTGTTAAATGCGTGTTTGAACGTCATATATCTCTGCTATCCTCGTTATCTTTTCTCGTCCATCATACCTTTCGCCAAGGTGATAGAAACTTCATCTCGCGATATACCACCTACGATCAAACTCACCCTTCGTGCCTCAGCATCTTTGCGCTATGCTCTTAAAATTGAAGGGAGAGCTGTTTATGTAAGCATTCAAGCCCAAACGAACAGTACGTCATTCTTTGGTACGTTGCCCCGCATCGCATTGGCATTTATTGATTAACAACTTTTTGATACTGCCCTGTGAATATTGTGGTAGTACATGGCATGAATCCAACTCGACTGTTCTGCTTTAACCGTGGCTGTCTTCCCATTTCATTTCGCAGTCCCTCTCTAAGCCTAGCCAAAATACTCATTTCCCACCGCGACATGGGCTCCGTGGACACCTCACTGCACCCCCATACATCAGGTCGTGCTGCCCGCTTCGCAGAGGCACATTCCTCCCCAAATCCATTGATCCTTTACGGCGGCTGGTTCTGCCCCTTCGTTCAGCGCAGCTGGATCACTTTGCATGAGAAGAACATTCCGCACCAATACTTCGAGATTAACCCGTACCGCAAAGACCCTGAATTCCTCAAACTAAACCCGCGTGGTTTGGTCCCGACTCTCGCCGTGCCTCTCGACAAAGAGGGCAAGGACCAAAAGCCCTTGTATGAGTCTCTTGTGATCTGCGAGTACTTGGACGAAGTATACAACGACCCTTCTAAGAACGGACCTGATCTGTTGCCGAGAGATGACGCTTATTTGCGTGCAAAATGCCGGATTTGGATCGATCACATTTCAACCAGGATTATTCCCGCCTTCTACCGTTTCATGCAGCATTCCGAGTCGAAATCGTATAGTCTTGATGAAGCACGGGCGGAATTCCTCAACCACATCAAGACTTTCGTCCAGGCATGTGATTCGCAGGGACCATTCTTCTTGGGTGAGAGATTTAGTCTGGTGGACATTGTGCTCGCGCCTTGGCTGTGCAGAATGTTTCTGTTTGATGTGTACAAGGGCGGGGTTGGTGTGCCCGAGGAAGGGAAGGGTGGCGATGATGAACAGGTATGGGGTCGATGGAGGAGATGGGCAAAAGCAGTGGGAGAAACGGAGAGCGTGTTGGATACCTTGAGTGAAAGGGAACAATACATCGAGGCGTACAGGAGGTATGCGGAAGACACCACACAAAGCGAGGTTGCAAAGGCCACGAGGTCTGGAAGAGGACTACCATAGACATGAGGAAAAGGGTAGGAATTATCGACGTGAATGGTTCATGGCTTTTCCTCATCCCAGACTTCTAACTCAGGAATGTGTTTCTTACCCGTTCTCATGCGCTAGAGACGACCTTTTCGTATGCAAGCGTGGCGCAACTCCTCCCCAGTTCCGTTCATATGCCGCTTAAAAGCCCACCTCGAGATCGCTCACAATGTCAAGACCACCCACCCCGGTCTGGTCTACCTCTTACCCTCGCCTCTTAGATCGCCACCAAGCCCGTAACCTCTAATCTTCTCCCACTCGACTTTCTGCCGCGTGACGGGCAACTGCCGCCGCAACGCCTTGAAGCTCGTCTCATTCATGCCCACGATCGTCCTGTTCACCTCTTCCTGGTACTGTTTCTCGATTGCGGCAATCTTCCTCACCACGCTGTCACCACTGCCTCCGCCGTCGACGGACACGTTGGCAAAATCCTTCTTGGTTGACATGGCGACGTTGCCGTCTTCATAGTAGTGCACATCAACCCGGATGCTGCCGGACAGGGTGTTGGAGGAAGGGTTGTAGAGGACGGCGGTCCTCCAGCGGCCGCTGAGGAAGTTCTTGGGGGAGGCTTTCAGGGAGGATATCAGAATCGCGACCTGCGAGTCGTCGGGTGTGGCGCAGACGGTGAACGCAGACGGCGAGGACGTCGGCGGGTAGTGTTCTGCAAAGTGGCTGGACAGGTGTTTCGAGATGGATGAGACGAGGTCGCTGTGTTTTGTGTCATGGGTGTAGGATTGAGGGGATGACGCCTTGGAGGTCGTGTGGTCGAACGAGAAGGACGTTGAGGATTGCGCGTCGTAGTATTGCCCTGACGAGAGCTTGTTGTAGGATGATATTAGAACCTATAAAACCGCCCCGGCTTGTGGTCAGCTTGGTCATCGAGGCAATGGAGGGTTGTCTCCCAGGCAGTTCAATATTTCTCCTGTGCTGGGGATGGAAGAAGGTCATAAGTATCTCGTACATAATCGCTCGCCCCAGGGAGCTTCACAGCCACCATCTGTTCTTCATTGTACTTTTCGAATGCAGGCTTCAGCTTTGAGATCAGCGTCGGGTCGTTGTCGGAAGTGAGGGACTTGATGTCCTTGATCACATCTTGGAGTTCTCCAGAGGGCGCACCCTCAATGAATGACGAGGTGATGTTTACAGTCGAGCCCATAGCCGGTGGAATGAATTGAAGTTGTAAGATATGGTCCGCGTCAACAGGGTTTTGCGCTGCGTTCGTAACAGATGGTATAGGCTGGTGGTGGAGGGGTGCAGCTTGTAAGGGTCGTGCCGTTGCGGGCAGAAACTCGGTGTGTCAGACGCCGACAGGAAATCTTTAGATGCGGAGCCTCCAGGCAGGGCTAGCCGATTATTAGAGAACAGAAGCTACGGGGTTTGAATTTTGAGGTTTGTAAGGTGATAATATGTTGTTGCTTCGAGTGAAGCAAGGAACAAGGCATGAACGGCAATTGAACTCGAGTATCATGATACATTGTCCAGAGATGAAAAGCAACCACCACGTCCTGGTCCAGTCCATGCCATGTCACGTCGGTCCCCCCCCAGACGCCTCGCTAGCCACAGATCAATTTGTAAAAAAAAAAAGATGAAAGAGACAAAGAGAGGAGGTCTAGTCAATGCTCATGCTCATTATGCCTTCATTCGTCTCGGTCATACCTTGCAACCCAATTTTCTTTGTCCCATTATGACTGCTGCCGCTGTTACTGCGATCGCCATGGCCATGTCCGGAGCCCTTGGGTGGCAGTTTAGACCATGCCTTGTCGCTTGTCAACACGGGGCTTTGCGACAAGATAGGGCTGCTTTGGACGCTCATGCCAGGCGACACAGCTCTGCGTTTGGTGTATGATGGATCGAAATCCTCTTCGCGGCGTCGCTTGTTGTTGACCCTTCGGGCGACATCCCCCGCGGTAGGCGGGAGAGAGGCCAAGGGAGTGGTCGACCTGGATCTAGATCGGTTGAAATGCTTCAGGGCAGGGTTGTCGACGATTGAGGAGCTAGGAGTATCCATCATATCATCACTGATGGCGGAGGAACTTTCGCGGGGTCGTAAAGATGGTGGAGGGGTTCGGTAGCGGTCGTCGAATCCATTCCAAAACCCTATTCCTGCGGAGTTCCTCTCGGCCTGTCGACTGAAGCTATCAGGAGGGAGTAGACCTTTGTTGTCCATCATCATGTCTTCTATCGATTCCTCTATCGGCTCTGCTGCAAAGTTGTTGTTCTGATGGGCAGGGATCGATGGCGACCTGGGCTGTGGAGCGGTCGGCTCATTTTCGTGTACCTGGCGAATGACTTCTGCCTCGCGTCGCGCTTCACTCTCGATCGGGGCGGCTTCTTCCAACAGCTGTGCACGAATTCGAGCAAAGCCTTTTGTCTTAGGGAGTAGATTGCCTCTACGCGTGACAGCTCGGCGAATGACCTTTCTTGGGTCGTCGCCATTTGCGCCATCCATGTCTGACAGAGATTGGCCGCCAGTCGTTCTCACGGTGTTGTTGTCTTCGCTGTCTGACAGATGTAGGTCGTTGGTACCCAGACTTAGACTTTCACGCCGAGACTGGACTTGTTGTCTGGTTAGACCAGTCCCAAAGTAACTGCCGCCCCCATTCTCAACACTTTTCAAAACGCCGGGTGACAATGGCCCCGGTGACGGCTTGGAACTGTTCATGCTCACGCTGCTAGAGCTATGTTGACTCTTGCCCTTCCGCGTACGAGCTCTCCTAAAACTCAACAGATTGGGCTGAAAACTCATAAGACTGGCTTGTGCCGGCGACGGTTGATTGCCCATCCATTCCATTCCGGGGCTATTCACCCAGCCTGGCATCGGCCCCGGGTTCAACCTTGATGCCGCAGGTGTATTCAAAATGGCTTCATCCACATCACGATCGATGGCCATGTCGTCCGAAGAGGTGTCAGAATCAGAATCAGAATCCGAGCCCATCATATTGACGGAACTGACAGAGCTGGACAAGTTTGTTCTGTCATTTGACAAGGACCACAAAGCATTCGACTGATTGCTCGGTGAGTCAAGCACGGTATTTCCGAGACTTCTCCTCTGGGGTATTTGTATTCCTCTTCCTGTGATGGGCGATGCATCCGGAGACGCTTCTGCCAGCGTAGAATGGTGTAAATTCGTACATGCTCTTGTATAATCGAGTCCTCGCGATCTCCTCGGAAGCATGGACGAGGGTGATCCATAGACATAGGACGAGTCTAGTTTTGGCGATAGCGGGATTCGTGGTATCGTGGGACCTGTGCTTGCTCCAGCGGCGTCTTTAAGCGGCATATGGAGAGATAGACCTCGAGTATGCATCGGAGGACGAGAGGGTGTTGTGGGAGTTGTAATAGCCGAGTCATCCTTGGATATTCGTCGCAAAGGTTCTCGAAAGGCTGGCGATGGAGATAGAACGGGCTTAGGAGCGTCTGAGAGAGACCGTGGTTTTGGGGAGCCCCTGGTGGAGGTTCTGGAGGATCGTGGCGTGCGTTCGCCTTCGCTCTGTTCAATCTGTTGTGTGAGGTTCGACTTGGTTGGGGAGAGGCCCAGCCCAATTGGAGCCGGATGGATGCTGGCAGAAGACATTGCTAAAAGCTAGACGCGCTATCGAACCATGACGGTGATGTCGAGATGAAGCATGTCGCGTATATCAATGGCGATTTCACATTTTCAACAGATGAGCGCGGAGAAGTCGAGACAAGAATTCAATGATGCACCTTCGTCGGATGCTGACCTTGGTCGCTTGTAATCGAAGACTGTGCTTGACCACGAGTTTACCTCACCTCGAGATCGCGTGGGAGACAGGAACAGGGTTTCGAGGGCGCACCTTCGCAGCTGAGCCCGAAATAGGATTATGGGCGTGCCGCTCTATTCTGTTGAACCCCGCTCTTCCCAGACACTGAGCCACTGACCCATCAGGGGCGCCACGAGCGCTCAGGGCACGCTGAAGACGGCCTTACTACTCGGAGCAGCTCTTAGAGGGAGGAGTACTTGGTACAAGTGGGTATAGAAGCAGCCTCTACTCGGTAACGAGCGTGCACCGATTTTGGACCCTCACATGCTCCTTGTTTGGGGCACCATTGGGTAGATCGGCCTGCGCCTTTGAGTTTCCCCTTCGTCAATGGGTGCCCTTGAGTCCTTCTAATGCTCCATTCCTAGTCAATAACATGAAAAAGTAAATACGACAGACTCTACTCTCATATCCTAAAGGGAGGGCAGTATACATAGGCCAGGTCAATAGAAACCTATCTGCCTATTTAAAGCGGCACGACATATGATGTTTAAGTAGTTTCGGTTACAGTGTTTCACCACCTTGCCGCTCTTAGCATTGACTCAGATAGCCCCTCTCTATGGTTTGGGGCCTACTCACGACGTCGCAATTCCTCTCTCGAGCCTACACGGTTATTTAACACGACCAAGTTCACCTGAAATCTTCCCTTTTACACTGAAATAGAGTTGGAACGGAAAAGACAGGAAATACTCACATGACGAAAACCCTCGCACGACATCATTGAACTCTAGCCCTGGCGCCCTGGTTGATCGATCAATCCCTTGTCAGTTAATAATCTCCACCACACGACTAACTCGGATATCTGGCCACAGATTTCCATTCACTACCTCAAAGACCAACCCGCGGTGTCGACCTCATGCTCTCATCTCCATAATAAACCTTCCCGCCTGTTCCGTCAGTCATCATTATGTCGAACCGTCGAGTAAAGTCTTTGGCGTTGGATGAAGACGACTATGATGATTTCGAGGACTATGAAGACCAGTATGGAGATGATGGCGGCGACAACGAGCTTTCTGCGGAGGACAAGGAACAGATGCAGCAGGGTACCAGAAAAGTGCGTGCAGCTCTAGGGCCAGGATGTCCCATCACAGACAACGACATCCAGGAGGCACTGTGGCATTATTATTATGACGTTGAAAAATCCGTCACGTATCTGAAAAGTGAGAGATTTTGCGCACTGCTCAAACTTGTGGAAAACTCACCCCCATAGACAAACAGAAGCCTCCCGTTGCCCCAAAGAAGCAGACGCCGGGTTCAAAGAGTAAGCTTGCTCTTCTTTGCCTCTCGCCTACGTCGCTTTCACGTCGTGGTGGTCATGATAGCTTAGGACCACACCATCTCGAAAAGGATACTGATAAGCACGAAGATCCTGCCGGCTTCTTCACTTGCTCTAACTCGTTCTCTGTGACGGATTTCTTCAAAGACTGCCCATGGTTGCACGTTCCTGAACACCGAAGGGCAGAGATCATAATCACACCGCTCTATCCCCGCGGTCGCCTGCTGGGTGGTACTTCAAATACTGGCAAGATGTCTAAACTAGCGGCACTTGCCGCGAAGCGCAGGCAGAAAGAAAGTGAGAAACTTGACGCTCAGAGCATGGCCGATACTGGATCTCAGCAGGATTACCTTTCTAGCTTGAATAAACTTCGGATCAGTCAGTCGACCAAAGCAATGTCTGAAGCAAGCGATGCGTCGGACTCCTCGCCAACATACCCTCGGCTTCAGTCACCAAAAATGGATCACAGGAATGACCAGAGCATCCAAGCAGAAAACAAGCAGACAACTTCAGAAGGGACATCAGATGTCTCGCTTGCGGTCAACCAGCATCTCCGCGCCGGACCCTCGGCTTTTGCCAGCATCATGACCAGCCGTGACGCTGATACACGTCACCCATCATCAAGCGACTTTTTCTCCGTTGGTGCAAATGCTAAATCTTTCAACTTTGCAGAACCGAGTCCGGACGACATTGTGACCAAGGCACAGACTGCAAAAGGTCGGGGATGAGGCCAATAGAAATGAAAAGGGGCTAACCTCCTCGTTGTTGCAGCCGCCACGTCGGCCGCTTCCAAAGCCAAGGATACGAATCGAGCAAAATCAGCTGTGACCGGAGGCATACGCGAACTGTCCATCCAAGATACTCCTAAGATCAAGAGCAAGAATATCGATGTGCTCGCAGAATATCGACGAAGTCACCGGAAAAATGCGGCAAACTTCGTAGTTATCGGTAAGCAGTTCCTCGATGACTACTTTGTAAGAATACACTGACTGCCCAAGGCCATGTCGATGCAGGCAAAAGTACTCTTATGGGTAGGCTGCTGTTTGACCTGAAAGCAGTCGATCAAAGAACCCTGGACAAGTATCGACAAGAAGCGGAGCGTATTGGTAAGGGCTCATTTGCCTTTGCATGGGTTTTAGATCAGGGGTCAGAAGAAAGAGCCAGAGGCGTGACCATCGACATAGCCACCAATAAGTTCGAGACCGAAAAGACTTGCTTCACTATCCTGGACGCCCCGGGCCACCGAGATTTCGTGCCGAATATGATTGCAGGAGCTAGTCAGGCCGATTTTGCAGTCCTCGTCATCGACGCCTCCACGGGAAATTTCGAGTCTGGGTTGAGGGGACAGACCAAAGAACACGCTCTCCTGGTCAGGTCCATTGGTGTCCAGCGAATCATAGTTGCCGTGAACAAGATGGATGTCGCGGGATGGTCTGAAGAACGGTTCAATGAAATTCGTCTACAGATGACGGCCTTCTTGAGCAGCGCGGGTTTTCAGCCAAAGAACGTGACATTCGTCCCTTGCTCTGGCCTCGAAGGTGAAAACATTCTGGTTAGAGCTTCGGATCCGAGGTCGTCATGGTATACCGGGACAACGTTGGTTGAAGAGCTAGACAAGGCGGAGCCATCGACCCACGCCTTGGACAAACCCTTGCGGATGACTATCAACGACGTCTTTCGAGGTGGCGTGCAGAATCCCCTGTCTGTGTCAGGTCGACTGGAGGCGGGCACCATCCAGATCGGTGAACAAGTGGTCATCATGCCAAGTGGTGAAAATGCCCAGATTAGGAACTTGGAGGTCGACGAGGAACCCCAGGAGTGGGCAGTGGCAGGACAAAACGTGGTCCTCAATCTGTCCGACATAGACCCCATACACCTGAAATCAGGAGACGTCCTCTGCAGCCCCCTGTCGCCGATCCGGAACATTTCCGAATTCAAAGCGAAGATACTTGCATTCGATCACCTCACCCCGATGAGCGTCGACGTGCACAAGGGACGCTTACACGTGCCTGGTCGAATCAGTCAGCTCGTCGGTGTCCTGGACAAAGCATCGGGCACAATAACGAAAAAGAAGCCCAAAATCGTCCAACCGGGAAGTGTTGTGCGAGTGGTTGTACGCCTAGACCAAGTGGTGCCCTTGGAACCGCCTTCAAGGATCGTGCTCCGAGCAAATGGCGAAACTGTGGGGGCGGGCCTAATCGAATACGAGTAATCGATGCAATCCACCCACGAGGCTGTTCCCAGATACCACGTCGCTAACAAAGGGAGTCAATTTTGGCTCGTTCTGAAGGTTCTCGCTCAAGATTGAGGGCGCTACTAAGCGTCCCGGTCCCACAAAGTTTACGAGCACTCGGTGCTACAAAGGAGAGTACTTACCCTCTGGGGTTCCCCTCTTCCTATTCCGTCATGTTCGGGGCCAAAAGTCGTTGGCGTATAGGATACAGTGCCGAAATCTCTGGCCTAGCGCAAATCTGAAACCGAACATTGAAATTCGTGGGAGAAACATCATCCTTCACGCCCCGCTCTTAAGAGCCTCGTTATTCGCCCGAGAGCACTTGCGTGGACGGAGCAGAGGCTGAGCGTCCCTGGCAGTACGGTCGTCGATACCAGGGTCGATACCAGGGTCATCGTGGTCTGAGACGTTCGGTGGGCAGGGGGGCTGATATGATTCTTCCTTCATTTTACCGTGGTACATGTGCTTCAGTGTGGCATGTCTCTGTCAAAGGAGATGGAGGAGCGTCCTTGAGTACAAAATGGCCCTTCTCGCCCTCTTTCTGTGGTATTTTTGTCTTCCACAAGCACTTTGTTCTTCTCATAACCGGCACTCAAAGAGGCCTTTCCTTCGTTTTTTCTTAAGCGGCGCAGTGCGCACGTCCATTCGTTCTCAATCTATCCAGTCATTCGTTTTCGCTGCCCAGACTCTCGATACGAGTTTCGATAACCGAAAGTTTGAAATCTGCTGCTGCTGCTACAGATACTGTCTCGAGTTACTCGTCCAGCCTTGTTAACCCAAACTCTTTTCCAACGACATGGCTGCAGCATTTATCCTTTCAGGGTTGGCCCTGGTGGGCATGGCTCAGGCCCATATTGCGGCATTTGCGAAGGGCATGTACTGCGAGAACGGCACAGACCCTGCCAACCCGAATCCCAACTCTAATGCCCCCGTCTCGCCATTGTACAACCTTACTCAGGAACAATGGTGGTTCCAACACGATCGAGGATGTGATGCTGTCCCTCCGCCTCCTGGAGTGTTTCTCGAGCTACCTGCCGGCGGCTCCTTCGACGTCGAGCTGGCCGACAACCAAGCCTTTACAACTCTGTCCTGGGGTGGTTCAAAGACTTCCGAATGGCCAGATGGGGGCGATCACCCAGAGGACTGGAACGGTGGCGGTATCGGCGAGGGCTGTATCCAAGACGGAGGTTACATGCACGTTCAGAACCAGAGCATGGCCCAAGGCACTGCCTTTGCTATTGCCTACGAGAGTGATCTGACCGCCATCACGATGGAGGATCTGGTTGTGTTTTCTGTTCTTGAGCACACTCCCTGGAAACGAGCAGCAACCTACCAGGTTCCAGCGGCAATGCCTGCATGCCCTGAAGGCGGATGCGTGAGTTCTCTTTGCATCGTATCAGCATGAGTGCGGCTAACAAATTCTTTTCAGACTTGTGCCTGGCTTTGGGTGCCTCATGGATGTGGACAGCCCAATATCTATATGCAAGGCTTCAAGTGCATGGTCACTGGTGCCACATCCACAACTCCCCTCGCAAAGGCCAAACCACCCGTCATGTGCGATACCGATCCTTCCGAATGCGCCCCAGGAGCAAAGCAAATGATCGTGTGGAACCAGCTGACAGGAAACAACGTTGTGACGAAACTCTCACAAACGCCGGCTTACAATGCACGTAACGGGTTCAAGCCAGGTCCACAGGATGACATCTTCGAGGGCGGTGCCTCTGCACCTGAAGGACCAACATCATCCTCGACGACTGCCTCCAGTTCTGCCTCAAGTTCTGCTTCCAGTACAATCTTCATCTCGGCTACCGCCCCTACAGAAACACATGTTCAATCCATCTCGTCGACAACTAGCGCAGCTGGCACCTGGGGCTCTGAATCTCGACCGGTAGTCCTGCCCACCTCGAGCTTCTTCTCCCTACCATCCGCGTCGACCACCTTGGCGACAGTTGTGAAGGCAGCCTCAACGACAACCAACGCTGCCTCCGCGCCCACCCCTGTTGCACCTCTGTCCTCCCATACCATTGGCTGGGGCGGTCCTTCTGGGGGAAGCCCGGAAACGGTTACTGTTTCCGTGACCGTGACTGTTTCCGCTGGCGACTCAATGCCTACTGGCTTGAAGCACTTCAAGGGGTGCTGGGTCGAGGACGATGAGTAGAAGGACAGGAGGAACTTCGTCATCCCGAGCAGCGACCACTGTTGGAAGAAACGGGAGTATTGCCCTTTGGGTCACCACGGTCACTAAGAGCTTGAGCTCTTGACCTTTGTATTTGTATTCATATCATATCTAGCAATTTTCTCGCATACTCCCAAGAAGGAGAAACAGACACAATTTCTCTCGATCCGTTTCGTTTCTTTACATCGATGGTATGGCTCGCTCCCTGCTCGATGGCGCTGACATGACCACAACAGCTCCAACGCAACATCGGCTTCTCCAATGCTGGCCGAAACAGAGTTGGGAATCTGCCCCAGCTCTGGGATATCAGATTTTGTTGATGAAGACCTGGCAAGGTACTAAAAAGGGCGCTCTCTGATCTCATACGGCCTCCTGCGGCCCGCCATGGCCAACATTCCATTCCACGACTTGGTGGTCTGTGCTCATCACAACGCGGCACCAGGGATGAAACTTCATGGACACTGCTCAAGATTCAATCCTCACCATGTCTGTTCCTTATCGTTGTCGTTGACTGAGCTTCCTTTCAAAGATGCCTCCGCTCCACTCCTTTCTCATATTTGCCGGCGTTCTATTTCGCATTGCATATGGTTACGTTGATTTCGGCTCCTTGACTCTCCCTGTTGAACCCCTCTACCAACCGACTCCGCGACCGAACCAATTGCTGGGTGACTATGATCTCCGCCACGAGATTCTTCCGTCGATGATTACAGCTGTCGCGCCTTCAGTGACGGTCGGTGCCAACGGCACCCACCAGACCATGTATAGCCTCCATTACCATCACTACTTCATCAAGACCCGGCAGGGCAGAGGAGTGTTCGACAAGCGAGGAGTCTTTTCTGACGACCCGCCCATTGCAACATGCACTCCCTGTGGAGGTGAAAGCGTCTCCTCTACTCCCACCGGCACAACTACATCGACATTGCCATGCACAACCCACACATATCATGTGAGTCTGTTTCCGGTCATTCATCCTTATCCCGACTGCAGAGACTGACGAGGCCTTCTCAGGGCGTCTTTAATCTGCCTCCACAGACGACAACTGCGTCCTGTTACGACACAGACTATAGCGGCGTATTCCAACCCAGTACCTCGTCATCGAGCGGCCTGCCGTGTTGTTTCACGATCCCTGCCTCTTGTCGGACCAACAGCACAATGAGCAGAACCACCAGCACATCGTTCATGGCGTCGACTGGAGTATTTAGATCGACAACCACGTCGACCACAACAGCACTCAGCTCCACAACTATGACTTCCAGATCTTCCCTCCTCACACCAAGCAGTACGAGCGGAACCTCCTCTCGATCCCAAGGGCCGATACTCAACAGCGGAAGCACATCTACATCTGTAGGAACCACCGTCACCGTCATCAGCGGGACGACCGTGATCGTCTCAACGACATCCACCTTGACGCCGAGGTTGACACCCACCACCAGCTCCGCTGCGGCCTCCAGCCAGCCGTATACTTCTACGTCACTGTCAAGTTCCTCAACCCGCACCACCAGCTTGTCAATCATTGTCATTTCAAGCACGACAATCGCAATAACAAACTCTGGCGACGCCACTGTTTCTTCGACAGGGGGAAGTGGGACATCCACATCATTGTCATCATCATCATCGTCCTCGTTATCTACATTAACCATCATCACAGGCACTGCGTCGAGCTCGTCGTCCACTTCTTCGACGTCGTCGTCGACCTCAGTCATCATAACCACCGTGCCCAACACCATCATAGGATGCGGCGAAGCTTCTGGCAGTGGGATCGTTAGTATGTGTGCTTTTCTTTTGGGATTTTCCTCTTACGGTCTAATCAGATTGGATCGAAACAGTTCAACTAACTTTGGAAAAACACAGTGGGGACAGGCACGGTGTATCTAGGAGGCACGCCGATTGTCACCTCAGGGACCGCCACTGGTACGTACATCGAGGTTTCAAAGGTTGCAAGTTTCTGACTAACTGTCTCTCTCTGTCCCTCTCTCTCCGATCCAGGCTTTGCAAGCAACGTCTCTGGCTGTGGCACCATCATCGCCACGTCAGGCACGTTTAGCGGATCCGCCGAAATCACAGGCTGTATGTGTATACTCTGTCGATAGTGGCTCGGCATCACCAGGCTGACTCGTGCGCCGCACAGGTGGTTCCGGCTCCGGCTCCGGCACATTGACCGGCACAGGGACCGTTTGGCCAGCATTTGGAGGAGGACTGATCTCGTTGGTCACATCGGGCACGGTCACGGGCAGTGGCAACTTCAGCGGTTGCGGGATCTTGGTACGTCTCACACTAGTGTCATATATTTGAAAAGGTCCTTCGAACGCTGATTCTGTGGTCATTTCTTGCTTGCAGACCGGCTCCGGCACCTTCGTGGCGACGACGGGCTCTCCCGTGATAGTCTCGCCCTCGACCACGCCCACGCCGACTTCCCGACCCATCAGGACCGTCAGCGTGTATCTTTCCTACTGCCCAGACGACGCCGGGGGCACAAACGGCATGCTCCGCCTCGCCGGTGCTGACTCGTCCAACGTTACGAGAGGGGACGGCGCGGGCGACGGCATGACCTATTCCAACACCACGTCACGCTATTCCTCCCCGTCGAGCTCGAACTCGAGCTTTCCCCTAGGTAATTCCACCGACGCCAACCCGCTGTGCCAGACGTGCCCCAACTCCGTCGGCATCTGCTGCCCCCCGACCGTGTACTGCTCGGCCGACGACGGCAAATGCCCGCTCTACGCGCTGGAGAACTCGGGCAACACCATCAACGGCTATCTGATCGCGCAGGTCATGAACAGCTCGGCACCAGTGGCTGGACGAAGAAAGGTCCGGGCGCTGGAGAAGAAGCACCACGTCGGACAAGATGACGGTCTAGACGCGTCAGCGACTCTCCCAGGTTTCGGTGGCAAGGACCTCTTGGATTTGGAGGCCGGAGTGGAGAGGCAGTTGCAGAGACATCCAGAGAAGAAGAGGGCGCATAAGAAGCAGTTTTAGGGGGAAAACCCTGTTGGAAAGGGAAGCGGGCCGTATTTCTTCGGCCTCGTTTGGATCTTTGGTTGTCATTGCTGTAATACCTTTTGTCCTTCTTCTCTGCCTCTACATAACATTCGCAGCCATCAGATTTGATACACTAGGCCTTGTTATGCTGTACGGTACAAGTGAAAAGAGGAGTACCAGGGGCATGTTCTGACTGTGTTGTGTCCAGCTGACCTTATAGCTGTTTGATGGACCCATTAGATGCGGACAATGTTTCTTATGGGATGTGTTGCTGCCTCGAGCGCTCAGAGACGCTCTGTCTGGATGGAAATCAAGGCTACCGATGTATCGGATCACGTAGAGCTTCTCAGTGCTTCAGGCGCTACTTCAAGTGCTGTGGTAGGTTGTAGCGTCTCGAAGCTGGTCTCGGAAACGTGAGAAAGCAGTGTGCTTTCCCCATTGCTCATAGTGTCGCTAGACCGGTCCTCTGTCTCCCACATACGCACAAGGACATTGGGCTCCCATACGCTGTAGAAGCATTCTCGAATGTCATAGATTTTGGGGTCGTTCGGGTCGATAGCAAGGCTCATGAGGCTCGCCAAGCACTGTAGGAGTGAGTATACTTGGATTTGGAATTGTGTAGATACTGAACGATGTGGGGTTCACTCTCTGCTAGCGTGGCTGGTTACATTCCTGATATGTTTAGTGCAGATTCTTTGCATTCTGTACTTGTGCTCGGTGTTATACACAATGGCAGCTTCTTTGGCTGTTCGCAATGCCATCAATTCATCTTCTGTCTCTAATGTGACAGCTTGGAGAGAGACAATTCTACCTCTTTCACATCTCTCCGCGCGATACTCCTGTCGCAGCGAGCCAGAGCATCGTGTTGCTTGCGGCGTTTGGGCTCTTGCTTCTCTCCACTGAGCAGCTTCGTCTACTATCCTGCTCTTACGGCGATGGCGAAGGAACTGCACACTGCTCTATCCAAGGTCAATTTGACCATTGCCACCGTCTCGGTCACGACGAAGGGGATCTTACAATGATGCTCAGATCAGCCATTCGCAATTACAATTGCAATTGCACCAGAAACATCCCCGCATTTTATGAATTGTGTGTATGTCTAGTCCAACCCTCTCCTTCACGGATCGTCATTGTCAAAATTCCATCGCTTGAACGCATCACAGATAGCCCCCGTCTATTTGATCTATATCTATATTCTATGTCTATATTCGTCTTTGCCATGAATCGTTACCCTCTTACCCACAAAGGAAATCCTAACACTCAAAGTCCCACATGTCCAGCAACTTGTCCATACCGTCCTCTTGCCCGGTAGCGTCGTCTTCGCTGTCCTCGGCGGGAGCGAAAATCTTCTTGGGGATCCTGTACTCCACCACAGGTGGTTTCTTCTCCTTCTTCTTGAATTCACTCTCGAGCAGGGTAGCGTAACCGTGGTCGAGAAAATCCTCGAGGTTGTACTGCTGTTTTGTGAACTGTTCTGATATAATCCGGGCAATGCTCGCTACTGTGGGGTGGTAGTGTGACTGGCAGGTCTCCAGTTCCCACAGGGAGGAGTCGATGGCATTGGTGAGCTGTGGATTCGGTTCGTTCGGGTCGAACGGGTCGTTGCCCAGGTTGTGTTTGAACTTGGTGTAGGGAGGGTATGGATTGCGGTGGATCATGAAGGTCGTGGTGGGGTGCTGTTTGAGAAGGTTGTAGATGAAGGGGATTATGGCCACGATGCCGGATGGAGGGGCAAAGAGACAGAGACGCGAGAGGCGCTTGATGAAACTGGCAATGGTTGCAGCCGGCAAGTGGTTTGTCGGAGACAGGAAGATATCGAGGTGCCGCAGCACCCGACTGCGATATTTGCTGTGTAGCAGATCTCGGTCAAGAAGTGCATACAGTCGAGGGTAGAAGGAGGGGTAGTCGAGGTTCTTTGTGGTGATGAGGTGGAAGAGGCCCGTGAGAGCCGGCACCGCGAGACTCAGGTCCCTCATGTCAAGACTGTCGGTGAAGAAATCCATAAGAATTTCAGGACGGCGGAGGCTGTCAATGGCGTCGGGCGATTGAAGCTGCTTGAGCAATTGCTTCCGCTGTGGTACCGTCATAGGAGCAGCAATTTGGGCCGCGTACGAGTCCGTGGCCGTTGACGAAGGCATGGTGGGCAGAGGCTGCTGAACAAAAGCGAAGGTGAGCGAGAGCGATGGAGAACAGATGCCCTCGAAATGAAAGATGTGAAAAATCACCACCCCTCCGTGCTTAATGCGGCCGTTCTGCCCTTGTCCTCACTCTCCCAATGTGTGTGTTAACATGCGGTGACATGCGGCATTGCGGTTCCCTGGCCCCAGCCCCTCTTCGCCTCGAAACATTTTTTGATGGCGCCAATTTATTGCCAAGAACTAGTCCACACATGGACTAGCGCAATCAGACCTCAATTGCAAGCTCTCGTCGCCGTGCGCCGGACCACCAAACTTCTAACGTCAGGAGCTCTCAGGTCGACTGTTCAGGCTACAAACACCACAACAATGGCGTCTAGACTGGCGAGGAGTGCTGCTGGTAAGTCCCGCACATGCACTGGAGCTCGACATGGTCCAAAGCAGAGCTGACATCGAAGTTCTAGGAGCCAGCAAACTCCGCGCATCGACTTCTCTCCCAATCCGTGCCCTTCCAACCCTCGCTGCAAGCACGCCCTTGACCTCGATCCGTCATCAATCCTCCTCGAACGTGCCCTCGCAAGATCCGAAAAAGACAGCTCAATCCATCGTCGATGCTCTCCCAGGGTCTTCCCTCGCCAGCAAAACCGCCATTCTTTCTGCCGGCGCTGGAATCTCAGTCTGGGCAATCAGCAATGAGCTCTACGTCGTGAACGAGGAGAGCGTCATCGCTTTCTGTCTGCTGTCCGTCTTCTACGGCATCTTTAAATACACCGGCCCCATGTACAAGGACTGGGCGGATGGCCAAGTGCAGAAAATCAAGGATTTGTTGAATGAGGCGAGAACAAACCATGCTAGTGCCATTAAAGAGCGGATTGAGGATGTCAAGCCCTTGAGCAATGTGGTCGAGATTACGAAGCAACTGTTTGATGTTTCCAAGGTAAGGCATCGAAACCCGAGATCCACTTCCCCTTGCCCATATACAGTGGTTGATGGTTTCTTTCCAGGAAACTGCAAGACTCGAAGCTCAGGCTTTCGAACTCGAGCAAAAAACCGCTCTGGCTGCTGAAGCCAAGAACGTTCTCGACAGCTGGGTCCGTTACGAGGGCCAGGTCAAACAACGACAACAGAAGGAGTTGGCCGACAGCATTATCGCCAAGGTTACCAAGGAGCTCGAGAATCCCAAGGTTTTGCAACAGATTTTGAACCAGTCGGTGGCGGATGTTGAGAGGTTGGTGGCTAGCAAGAGCCAGTAGACAAGCAGAGCGGTGTGGTTAATCTGGCGGTTCGATGAGGCCAGATTGTTGACGAAGGTGCTAGGTGGTACGTTTCCAAGAGTGCCTTGGAGGGGAACTGGTGGACTGGCATTCAAATGTTGTACATAAAATACCTCTCTTTAGAAGTCTGGAGGAAAAGAGCACATCAATTTCACCCGTCTATCTTCCTTAGCCGCCGGTCTAAGTCCAAGTTTGAACAGTCAAGTGAGCTTCCAACGCCTCGCTGGAGGGTATCAAACAACTAGGTACTTCTCTGTCACTTCTCTAGCCATCTCCGAATTTCCGCTCAGAGCATACATCGTCTGAATGGCATACGCCGCTTCCATAGTGAAGTCCTTGTGTTTCGTTTCTGTGTTTGCTTCGCTGTCCGCACGTGCTGTAGTGGCAGTGGCATCAGGGGCTGAGAGCCGATCAGATGCGACTGTGAAGGATAGCATCTTCTCGTATGCCCGCACGGCGAGATCCGACAGGCCCAGCATGTGCCAGCATCTTGCACGGTTGAACGCAATCTCTCGCTCAATCAGCAGCTCCAGGCCGTTCATGTCCTGTGCGGTCACATGGTCTGCGTCACCATCACTGTTCTGCTGTTCTTGCAACAGCTTTCGCGCCCACCCCCTCCTCGCATCGGCATAGTCCTCGAAGAATGCCCAGCCCTGCAGCAACCACATGTGACGGTTCTCGCTGTGCTTTCTGAGCGTCTCGTGCATATAGCTCAGTGAAATACTGAGTAATAACGAGGGGTTTTCAGGACTGAGAGAAAGGGCACGAAAAAAGTATGACAGGGCACTAGAGAAGCCACCGCCTGCGTACAGCACATGGCCGTACAGCGATAGAAGATCGACACTCATTTCCTTCAACTTTGTGATATCTTGATGTTGATTCTGCTGGCTCTGCACGATAGTTGGGTGAGAACGAGGCGATTCTTCAGCATCGTCCCTGTTGTGCGAAGGGAAATCCGTCCTACCCTGCCGCATGAAGTCCGGCACCGCTCCATAACCTTCTGGTTGATAATCAATCGGCAAATTTGCGTCCATTTGCACAATTTGTTTGAAAAGGAATTGTTGCGACGCGCGGTTGCGAAACACGGCACCGGGCCGAGCGAAGACCATGTTCATGGCGGCAAAGAGACGATATACGTCAGAGTTAAATTGAAATGTTCGCAGAAACCATCGTAGCACAATGTTGGACAAGGCTTTGTCATCTTGTAAGGCAAGAGTGCAAGCGAGATATGTGATATAGATATGCAGGAGCGCTTGTTGGTCTTGGTTCCAAACCACACAATCCAATGCAGCATTGATAATGGTGTAGCAACGATGCTGGGCGTCTGCCTCAGGGAATTGAGCCAGGAGGAGGGCATACTCGAGAAAAACATCCAGCCAGTCTGAAAAGGCGATTTCACGATATTCAGTAGGCATGGACGATTCGACGGTAGGGATGGGGAAATCTTGATCCACTTCGACGACGTCTTGTCCATTTCCTTGCTCTCTCTCCCATCTTTGGCGTGAGCCAGCATTGATAGATTCCCGGTTAATGCCGTTCGAGGAATGACATTTCTCCTTGGAGTAAAGCAGGCGGTTGCTTCGGAAATCCGTGATAAGGGAGTCAGCACAGTCCATCCAGGTATTCCTTGCTATTTCGTCGCCGGCCCTCATGGCTTCTGAGTTGTAGACCAGCTCGCTGTAGAGTCTGTTGATCGTTTCTGTTCGGTGGGTCTCTCTTTCTTCTGCATTCATTCGTTTTATCCTGGTTTTGGCTTGCGCCCGTGACCGTGGTGGTTCCCGATCCTTTCTCCTCCGTGCCACATTCTGGGCCGTCTGTCTGGCGATCTCATCGTCCATTGTTGGCAGCATTGCGGGCCTGGTTTGACCAAGTTCAAACTCCTCGCGTAACTCCTCGTATTCGTCTTCCGTCCCTTCTGTCTCTTGGTAGTTTGTCCCTTCCGTTAGCATCGATAGTGCCTTTCGGGTCCTGTACGTCCTCTTCTTTTTTTGGAGTCTGCTCTCGATACGATCAACTGGTGTGCCACCAACAGCCTCGCCAGGAAGGTTGAATGCTTCCTTGAGAGCCTTCTCTGCTTCCTCACGAGCCAGACGTTGTTCTTTGCGCTCGTATTTGCGTCGTTCAGTCTTAGGAAGTAAGCTGTCAGCCACACGAACAGCTTCACGAGCATTCTCCATTGCCTTTTCTTTGTCACCAAATTCGGCGTAAAGCCTCGAAAGGTGCGTCCGTGCTTCGACACATTTTTCATCTCCAGCCTTGGCCTCTTCATAGCACTCGACCGCGTGTAGCTTATCGCCGCAGACATAGGAGGTGGCTGCGATGCCCAACCAAAACTCTGTGTGTGAATATGCGTTGGTGTCCTTCAGAGCCTCATAATAACGCAGTGCCTGGTCGTATTCTTTGGCTTCCTGCAGGGCTTGGGCAACCTCTAGGAATATATCTGGGTAATCATACACAATTGCGCCCTGATCCCTGGCTTCCGGTTCAAGCCATTCAAAATGTGCCAAGGCCTCGTCCAAAGCATTCCGGCCCTGCTTGAGACGGAGGATCCCTAATCTAGCTCTCAGTTCCAAGGGAAGTCCTAAACCATAAGCGTCCGGAGAATATTTGCCGGGTATAAACTCAGGCACCAACACTCGTCGCGGTTCATCTTCTGAGTCAAACTCTCGGTCGTCATCAGTAAAATAATCCCAGTAGACCTCTTGTTCTCGGCCTAAAAGCCACCTCGATAACTGCTTTAGAGATATTAAAGCATTCGTGATAGCTGGATCAGGAGGTTCTTCCAGAGCAAGGATTTGCGCGTAGACCAGAATGTCGGCCCACGTGAATGACTCCTGGCCCTCAAATCCATTTTCCCGGTAGTATCTCAGGGTGTCCTCGTAGAATTGTTTCGCTCTTTCGAGATCCCTTGTTTCAATGCATATTTCGGCAATCTGTCTCAAGACGCTAGAATTCCGAGGCATCCGTTCCAGGATAGCTTCCAGGTCTTTCAAAGCTTTATTGTAGTTTGACAGCTCTCTGCTGACGGCTGCTCGTTGAAAGCGGGCTTCCAAGTGGTCCCGGTCTGTGTGGATGATTCGTGCATAGCAGTAACTGGCTTGCTGCAAGGCAGTCTCTCGTTTCCCCTTGGACCTTTGGAGACAGGCGTTGGCCGCTTGAATCCATACTTCCGGATCTGTTGGTATAGTGTGAGCACCGCTGAAAAGTGCAGCAATGGCCTTTTCGTCTTCGTCCAGAGAGAAGTATATCTCGGAGAGTAGGGCATGAGCAGAATAGATTTCTGGATTAATCGCAATAGCCTGCAAGACTAGGTCAAGCGCTTTGTCACTGTCTCGATCATCAATGAAGGCCGTCGTAGCCCGGCCATAGAGTTCGTTGAATTCCGGCCCAGGGTCGATCGCTGCCCGTGGGCCAATTTTCATCCCTTTGCTCCAACCACCTCGAGGACCCGTCCCCTTCTTGCGTCGCTTCCTGGGCTGAGCACCCGACGATGCCAACTTCGGTCGACCTCGCTTCCGTGTTGTAGAGATAGGTAGGCCATCTGCGACCAAGTCCGAAGGTAGTCCGGGGATGTCGTAATCGTCAACAGAAGTGTCACTATCTTCTTCGACAGGAGACCGCTTCGTGCCCAGCAGTTGCTCTTCATTCTGACTCGATCGCCCATCACGAGAGATGCCCGGATGGTGCAGCTTGGTGGCAGGGAACGGAATGTAGCCTTCAGGGTGATCCTGAGGTCTGTGGGCTGAAAACGGAGGCGCATGCTGCGGCTGATCCGGAGACAGCTGGGGATAAGAGGGGGGATTTAGCACGTATGAATCAGATGCGAGAAGTGGTTGAGAGAATGCAAAGCTGTCCTCGAACCGTGACGCCGGGTGCAGCAGAAACGATGCATGCTCGTGGAAAACAACTCGTCTTGCAGACAAGGTCTGGTGCAGTAACGTTGACCTATGCAGCGAGCCGGGTGCGGGTGGATGGTGAGGCAATTCTCGAAGAGGGCTCACCGGGCCAAGAGGCAGCATTCCATCTGGTCCGACTGAAGGGTTGACAGTCGTCGCGTAGTGAGGAGTAGACGAGGAGCCATCACCTGTCGCATGTGACGACTCCTGAAGGCTCAAGTTGTTCATCTCGCATGGCTATGCATCTGTCATCAGCCTTGTGTGGATCGGGCGACGCGTAGGTTTGGTGGTATTTGGGATTGTCTAACTTTTTTGCGGCAGTAAAAGCAGAGACTCCGTTGGATAGCCTCAGTTAACCCAATCGGGCAATTTACTCCGAGGTGTGCGAGACGAGCAAGGCACGAGCAAGGATGAGTAAGACAAACAAGGGTTAGCACCATTGGAAGATTGAAGCCGACCAACCCATGGGTACGCAGCAGAGACTCTAGGGACTGCTACTGTTGCTACCAACCATCTCTACCAGGGGTCCTTCACTTGTCACATTTTCCACATTCGGGGCCACCCAATTGATCTGCACATACACATCGCCCAGGACGGCGAAGAACAAGGACTCTCGCCAGGACTTATGAATAGCCGTATCTATAACGAAAAGTGGCCGGGTGGGGGGAGTCTCGGATGGTGCTCTGCAGTTCTCTTCTGCACATCCGATGCCTTCTCGACCGGCCCCTCTTTCAGCATTATCATCATAGTTACGTGAACCCCACCTCAAAGAAGGCCGCTCGCTCACTTGAAAAACAACAGCCTCCCCACACCCGGCATGTTGAAGGCTTCTCCTTTCTGACATTTCCGTGTTTCCTCTACCCTCTTATTGTGGACTGCAGCCTTTGTTGAAACCAGCTTTCTCCGACCCAATCCATCAAAATGCCTGCCGACACTGTTGGAAAGGTGATGCCCAATGCTCCAGGATCCCCATGGGTTCATGTGCTGACTCTTCCTATTGCCAGACTATTACTTGCAAGGTAAACACTGGCCTTCTTCTCCCGTCTCCCCCGACCAGACAACTCCTGACTCTGTCCAGGCTGCCGTTGCCTGGGAGGCTGGCAAGGACCTTTCGATCGAAGACGTTGAAGTTGCTCCACCCAAAGCCCACGAAGTCCGCATCCAGATCTACTACACGGGAGTTTGTCACACAGGTATGCTGCACCTGCTGCGGGTAAGAATCGGGAACTGAAAGAGATGCCAGATGCGTATACCCTTTCCGGGAAGGACCCGGAGGGCGCGTTCCCTGTCGTTCTGGGACACGAGGGCGCGGGTATCGTCGAATCAGTGGGTGAAGGTGTCACATCCGTGAAGCCTGGGGATCATGTTGTTGCGCTCTAGTACGTCCAGCTCCTCTCTCCTGCGCCGTTCAACCTGTAACTTACCTCTGGCAGCACCCCGGAATGTAAAGAATGCAAATTCTGCATTTCCGGCAAGACCAATTTGTGCGGGAAGATTCGGGCTACCCAGGGCAGAGGTGTGATGCCAGACGGTACCTCGAGGTTCAAGTGCAAAGGCAAAGATCTTCTGCATTTCATGGGCACTTCAACTTTCTCCCAGTACACGGTCGTCGCCGATATTTCCGTCGTGGCTATCACCGATAAGGCTCCGATGGACCGCACATGCTTGCTTGGCTGTGGCATCACCACCGGCTACGGGGCAGCAGTGATCACCGCCAACGTGGAGAAGGGCTCCAACGTTGCTATTTTTGGCGCTGGCTGTGTTGGTCTTTCCGTCATCCAAGGTGCCGTTAAGAACCAAGCGGGCAAGATCATTGTGGTTGACGTCAATGACAAGAAGAAGGAATGGGCTGAGAAGTTTGGCGCCACAGACTTTGTCAACCCGACTCAGCTGAACGGTCAGACCATCCAGGAGAAGTTGATTGAAATGACAGATGGTGGGTGCGACTACACCTTTGATTGCACTGGAAACGTCCAAGTCATGAGAGCTGCTCTTGAAGCATGCCACAAGGGCTGGGGCCAATCCATCATCATTGGTGTTGCCCCTGCCGGCGCTGAAATCTCCACGAGACCCTTCCAACTGGTCACGGTAGGTTCTCATTATCTTGCGCAAGCCGAGAAGCTGCGCGGCATTGGCACAAATAGACTGACAAACCTTTCCAGGGCCGTGTCTGGCGAGGCTGTGCGTTTGGCGGCGTGAAAGGTCGCACTCAACTTCCAGGACTTGTTAAAGATTACATGGATGGAAAACTCAAAGTCAAGTAAGTGCCCTCGAACCCCTCGGTCAACGTCTGTTCATCTCTGACCGTTTGCTCAGCGAGTTCATTACGCATCGCCAGCCTCTTGACAAAATCAACGATGCGTTCCATGACATGCATGCTGGTGACTGCATCCGATGTGTAGTGGACATGGGCGCAAAACAAGGGTGACTACACTCGGGAGAAAGCAAACTTTGAACTGTGATGAAATGAAATTTCAAGAAGCCTATATATGTAGTCCGCGTCGCGGTTCCGATGGTGGACAAGAGATGTTCAATATTGATGGCGCCGGGGATACGAAAAGAAATTACCTTCGCATGTATCTTGAGGATCAAACATAGCAGACCTGCCTTCTTTCAACGAAATCAAGTCAAATCAAGCCCAGTATTGCTGTCTGTTGGTCCTCGTAAAGCTCACTATCACCACACCACATGTAAGTTGTTCTCTGCATCACCAATCAGATGGCAGTACTCATCAAGTGTGTCTCTTCTTCACTCACCGATACGTGCCACCTCTCCTTCTCATTCTCTCCTTTTTCTCTCTCCGACTCACACACCCACTCCCGAGCAACCACATACAAGACATTCCTTCTTCCGAAGCGGGGGTTGCGTGCTTGAATGCCAAGGCAGATCTCCGAGTGCTTGCACTTGCAACTTCGGCATTTAAAAGTCCGCAGTCAAGACCGGCAAATCGAACAGAAGAAACCGAACGGAGCAAAGGATTGGGCGCGAGAGCCACCTCTGATAGTGGCCTGTCGGTTTCTCGGTCTCTCGGTCCGAAAGAAACCTGAACCAGTGGGCGCACGTGGCAGATATTTCCCGAGAGCTTTAATGATGTTGTACTTATAAGTACGAGGTACCTAGTTAGATGCTGGTGTGAGGCTTGGCTATACTTTGGTGGTTGCGCAAGAACTCCGGCACCTCCGAGGAAACCCCTTCGTGCCCCTTTGGACTGCCCCCCAATCATTCGACGGCCTTTCAAAGATGCCTAAAACTTCCTTCCAGGCCCTGGATTCCAGGAGTGGCTGAGCCGGTACAGCGACCATTTGGCGGTCTAGAATGTGCACGAGGCCTTTCAAGTGGAAAGGACGAATCTTAGAAAGCCGGCGTTTATTGACCCTCTCTTCTATCCCCGAGCTCTTCAAACAGGTCTACATCTGACATCTCCAGTGTCACTTCTAAGCTACCAACACTCGCCGTCTTTCTCTCCTGCTCATGGTCAATCAAACATGCCCCAATAGTGCTCACCCCTCATTGGCAATATTTGGTTGATTTGAGGTCATCGCCTTACCACTGTTAATGTCGCCGTCATCTTGACTAGCCGCCGCTTTCACAAAGCCCCGTTGTTTCCTTGAATTCCCCCTCAAATCTAGAAACTCGTCGATTTCCCAGGGCGGACGACATTTCAAGATGCGGCGTTATGTTCCCGATCACCAACAGCTCACAGCGCCGCTACTGAGCAAGGATTTGGCCCAGCCAATGAATGAGGGATCCGAATATGGAAGTCAAGGTCCAAATCAAACCACCGCCTTGGATTTTCCTCCGGGTTTGTCCTTGTATCCTGTGCATCAGCATGGCTTCTGATAGTCAACAGCAAGCTGGACATGGGCCAAACCATATAGTGGCAAGCAGTCTTTGCCTCAAACCATCGCACATCGAGGTTTCAAGGCCGAACACCCTGAAAACACCCTGGACTCTTTCAAAGGTGCCGTGCAAGTTGGCGCCCATGCACTCGAGACTGACATTCATTTGTCCAAGGACAATGTGGTTGTTCTCTCTCACGATGCAGATCTGAAGCGGTGCTTTGGCAAGAAAGAAAAAATTGTCGACTGTGACTGGGACTATTTGAGTACCCTTCGCACGACCAAGGCCCCTCACGTACCTATGCCACGTCTCCGAGACTTACTTGAATACGTCGCGCAGCAGGGCATGGAGCATATTTGGCTGTTGCTCGATATCAAATTGGACAACAACTCGGACGATGTAATGAGACTGATAGCACAAACCCTGGCGTCGGTAAATCCTGGTCAACGGGCCTGGAAGGAACGGGTGGTTCTCGGTATCTGGGCTGCCAAATTCCTGCCTCTATGCATGAAATATTGCCCAGGCTACCCGATATCACACATTGGATTCTCGACCATCTACGCCAGGCAGTTCCTGAAGGTCCCGAATGTGTCGTTCAATATGCTACAGAAGAGCCTTTTTGGTCCTTTGGGTGCCCGATTTATGAGCGATGTACACAAAGCCAATCGCCCGCTCTATGCTTGGACGTAAGTTTTCAAGACATGCCCAAAGCCACGACCTCTGCTTCAACGTACCTCGAAGAATATCACTAACGTAACGGTGACTGCAGTGTCAATGACCCCAATCTCATGAAATGGTGCATCCAACACAATATACAGGGAGTCATTACGGATGATCCTAAAACATTCAAGAAGATTTGCGACGAGTGGGACGAGCAAAGAGAACCAGAAGCCAAAATCACCTGGGTCCAGTGTCTCTACACGTTGTGGGTATGGATTATGATCGCAATTTTCTCAAGACGCTTCAGGCGCAAATTCCCAGAGACGGTTGAGCATTTCATTCAACAGAATAATCTGAGATTGAAATCTGTCGACACCTTCAAGGAGTAATCACCCGCCATCATTTGAAAAGCTATCGGATAGACTGTGGATAAAAGCAAGGTTCCTGGTATTGTGACATGGTAGAATACCATGGCAAGACGGAACATCACTCTATGTACAAGTTGTATAGAATCAAGAGATTTTGTATTGGTGCTAATGTGTGCTGGACGACAATCCCTTGCTATAATTTGCTTAAACCCCCACACCCCACATCCGGACGCGTGAAATTTACGCGTTGGTTGACGTCCAATTTGTTATTTGCCAGTATCAACTGCCATCAACCCGCCTTACAAATGCACCGGTCTCGTAACAATGCCTCGCGAGATTATCACCATCCAAGCAGGCCAGTGCGGTAACGCAATCGGCTCCCGATTCTGGCAACAACTATGTCAAGAACATGGGATCTCTCGCGATGGAAACCTCGAGGACTTTGCTACCGAAGGCGGTGACCGCAAAGATGTCTTCTTCTACCAGAGCGACGACACACGTTACATCCCTCGAGCCATCCTCATCGATCTCGAACCACGAGTCATCAATAGCATTCAAAGTGGCCCCTACAAAAACATCTACAACCCGGAGAATTTCTTCATCGGCGAACATGGCATGGGCGCAGGGAATAACTGGGCGGCAGGGTACGCGGCGGGCGAGAGGGTTCAAGAGGAGATTTTTGACATGATTGATCGGGAGGCTGATGGCAGCGACTCGCTCGAGGGATTCATGCTCCTCCATTCGATTGCCGGCGGTACTGGGTCGGGCCTCGGGTCATACCTCCTCGAGCGCATGAATGATCGGTTTCCCAAGAAGATTATCCAGACGTACTCGGTGTTTCCAGACACTGCGACGGGCGACGTGGTGGTGAATCCCTACAACAGCTTGCTCACCATGCGGCGGTTGACACAGAACGCCGACTGTGTCGTGGTCCTCGATAATGGTGCGCTATCGAGCATTGCATCAGAAAGACTGCATGTTCAAGAGCCTTCGTTTCAGCAGACGAATCAGCTAGTCTCGACAGTCATGTCAGCCTCTACAACGACGCTGAGATATCCTGGATACATGCACAATGATCTGGTTGGAATCATCGCGTCTCTGATTCCTACACCACGGTGCCACTTCCTGATGACCGCTTATACTCCATTCACCGGGGACAATGTGGACCAAGCTAAAACCGTGCGAAAAACCACGGTGCTTGACGTGATGCGCCGCTTGCTCCAACCGAAGAATCGAATGGTATCCATCACCCCCTCCAAATCCTCTTGCTACATTTCCATCCTCAACATCATCCAAGGCGAGGCCGACCCAACCGACGTTCACAAATCCCTTCTGCGCATTCGAGAGCGGCGAATGGCAAATTTCATACCCTGGGGTCCAGCCTCGATCCAGGTGGCTTTGACCAAGAAATCTCCATACCTACCAAACACGCATCGAGTTTCAGGTCTCATGCTAGCAAATCACACCAGCGTGGCTACCCTCTTCCGCAGAATAGTGGTGCAGTACGAAAAAATGCGGAAACGAAATGCCTACTTAGAGCAATATAAAAAGGAAGCGCCATTTGCTGAAGGACTAGCCGAATTCGATGAAGCGAAGGAGGTCGTGATGGGCCTGATTGGTGAATATGAGGCGGCAGAGAAGGACGATTACCTTGATCCAGACGCTGGAGAAAAGAAAGTTGAAGGAGCTTGAGGTCGCCGACTCCCGGCCGGAATCCGACAAAAGACCTAGGGCTGTCGGCGTCGGCCACTGACATGACAGCGAGACGGTGGTCTCTATGACAACCAATCGACCAAACGAGCTCACAGCAGCATTGGCGATGGGGAAGAGAACACTATCTTTCGAAGTGTGTGAGGTGATGGTTGAAGCATTAACGGGGAAAGAAATGGTGTTGCCCGCCGATGTCGCATACATATTTGGGTCGTCTCTAGCATGATTGTTTGGGCGGGCATTTTCCCTATGCTTGCCCTGGTACTGGATCGGCCCAGCAGAGGCCGCGACCAGGAGAAGTGGGAATATGCAGGGTCTCGGCCGCATGTGCAGATCGAGCCCAGCCAGGAAGTTCGGGGCAGTGCCTTCCAACACATGACCCGAAAACTATCAGGTGGAAGAAAGAAAGGTTTGATTGATATGAACTAGTGGGAAAGCTATTTCACGATAACGGTAGATGCCGTTCGCATAAGAGTCCTGGAGTCTAAAAAGGATGGCAGCCACAGATACAACGTTTGTCCCTCGTGCCGCCACGCATACCGGACCTGAATGGGAGGCATAGTCGATGTCGCATGCCGCATTCGGACAAAAGCCAACCGGACTGCTTTGGGAGAGGCCTAGACTAATCAGAGCTGCCTACCAAGTGAGGAAAGCCGCGTCGCAGCCAGCTACAGGTGCCAACAATGCAATTGTGTCAAAGCGGGCTAGTTATCATTTGTCCATGGGCGTCCGTCGCTTTGAAGGTACAAGGGCATCCTGATGGGGTCAGCACTGACGAGTGAACAAGGGCACGGGCAGGTCAGAGTCCCCAGCGCTCAGACCGACGATCTGAACCTCAACCGGGAAAAGG